CTCACTACAGCCTTGAACTCCTGGGCCCCCGTGGGAGCTGAAACCTCCCAAGTAGCTGAAACCACAGGCATATGCCATGATGCCTGGCTAATTTTTAAACACTTTTTTGTAGAGATAAGGTCTTACTGTGTTTCCCAGGCCGGTCTCCGACTCCTGGGCTCAAGTGATCCTTCCGCTGCAGTCTCCCAAAGTGTTGGGATTATAGGCGTGAGCCACCATGTCCAGCCAGCTCTGACTTAATGTGAAAAGAAATTAGCTAAAATTTTGATCTCCATCACACACAATCACATTTGTGTCTTATATAATATAGGGGTGTTATTCTCCTCTCTTCATAGTTCACACCATTTTACATTGTCCCCAGGTCTAATGGTGAGTTTGACTTACCACTTCTCAGCTTGCTTACCCAGTTGATTTTCTAATGCTGTCTCACTTGGTCCCTATTAGACATTTGCATCTGAGATCTCTAATATTCTGAGTGACATAAGAGAAAAATTCTGTAAGTCTTAACGATATGCTTTGTAGAGTATTCGGGTAGAATTTTCAGGATTTTTATGATTGAAGGCAGGGTTTCTTAATCTCAGCACTATTGACATTTTGGGCAGGATCATCCTTTGTTGTTGAGGGCTGTCCTGTGCATTGTAGGATCTACCCAGTAAAAGCCAGTAACACTTCCTTCCTCAGTTGTGACTATCAAAAATGCCTTCAGACGTTGCTAAATGTCCCCTGAGGGGTAAAACTGCCCAAATTGAGAACCACTAATCTAAAGTATATTTCTTCTTCTTCTTTTTTCTTTTTTTTTTTTTTTTTTTCTGTATAACCAAATAGAAGTTGCTCTTTTTACTTCTTCTTTTTTCTTAATAAAGTTTTTTTGGGAGCAGTTTTAGATTTTAGATTTACAAAAGAACTGAACAGAAAGTACAGAGAGTTCCTTTATACCCCCTCTCCCTACCCCCACTGCTTCCCCTATTATTAACATCTTGCATTAGTGTGGTACATTCGTTGCAAAAGTCTATAATCAAATTAGGGTTCACTGTTTGTGTTGTACAGTTATACAGGTTTTGTCAAATGCGTAATGTCATGTATCCACCATTACAGTATCATACAGAATAGTTTCAGTAACCTAAAAATCTTCTGTGTTCCATCTATTTAAGCATACTTTTTTTGTTTGTTTTTTGAGACAGAGTCTCGCTCTGTCACCCAGGCTGGAGTGCAATGGTGCAGTCTCGGCTCACTGCAACCTCCACCACCCAGGTTCAAGTGATTCCCCTGCCTCAGCCTCCCAAGTAGCTGGGATTACAGTCATGTGTCACCACACTTGGCTCATTTTTTGTATTTTCAGTAGAGACAGGGTTTCACCATGTTAGCCAGGCTGGTCTCAAACTCCTGACCTCAGGTGATCCACCCGCCTTGGCCTCCCAAAATGCTGGGATTTCAGGCATGAGCCACCATGCGTGGCACACCTGGATAATTTTTGTATTTTTAGTAGAGCAGGGTTTCACCACATTGGCTAAGCTGGTCTTGAATTCCTGACGTCAGGTGATCTGCCTGCCCTGGCCTCCCAAAGTTTTGGGGTTACAAGCATAAGCCTCCACACCCAGCTTTTTTTTTTTTTTTTTTTGAAACAGTCTTGCTCTGTGACCCAGGCTAGAGTGCAGTGGTGCAATCTCAGCTCATCGCAACCTCTGCCTCCTGGGTTCAAGCAATTCTCCTGCCTCAGCCTCCTGAGTAGCTGGGACTACAGGCACGCGCCACCATGCCCATCTAATTTTTGTATTTTTAATAGAGACGGAGTTTCACCATGTTGGCCGGGCTGGTCTTGATCTTCTGACCTCAGGTGATTCGCCCACCTTGGCCTCCCAAAATGCTCTTATTACAGGCGTGAGCCACCACACCCGGCACACCTGGCTAATTTTTGTATTTTTAATAGAGCAGGGTTTCACCATGTTGGCTAAGCAGGTCTTGAATTCCTGACCTCAAATGATTCGGCCACCTTGGCATCCCAAAGTGCTGGGATTACAGGCGTGAACCACCACGCCTGGTACTTTTTTTCAAGGTAGTCGAAACTCTCCTTAAAATGATCCCTAATCCACTTCCCTATTAATGCACATTTTAGTTGCTTCTCAGTGATTAGTACCCAAAAAAGGTCTTAATGAATGAATATTCATTGTTATCTCAGATACTGACTCGTGATTAACCTTTGGTAATTTATTGATTTATTCAACCAGCATTTCTAAACAAACATCTTATAACTGGAGTAGATTCTGATTGTGTATAGTTCAAATTAGTCTTGAAAATTCTTGGGAAAATGATATGTTGAAGACTAAACTTCATCTTTCAATAAATCCAACACAGGTGATATTTTTCTCCAGTTCAAACACACAGCTATTTCTTTAGTTAGGCACTGGATATAAAGTTTGCTTGAGTTTAACAGACGTGTATTAAATGCCTGAATGCTGGAAAAATCTCAGTGTCATGAGATACTTGTGCTTTGAGGGATATACGACTAAGGACAAAGCTTCAAGTCACGCATTTTGTACTTATTCTCAACCATGAGCTTATTGAATGGAATAACACATAAAATTTCTCCCTTACTTTCCTTTCCCTTTTGGCTGACTGCATTTGTATGAGTTAAAAATAATTCTATCATATGCCACTCATTTCTACATGTTAGGCATGCAGTATACATTTACACATTTTTGTTCACTGAATAAATAAATTTAGGGCAAATAGCAACTTCCAATCCAGTGAGGCCTCCACTGCCACAAAATTAACTATAATCCAAGTAAGTGAATGCTAGACTGGGTTCTTGAGACATGACCTATGGTTCATCTGGCTCCAGAAGATAACAACATGCATGTGGTTGATCGGGATGATTCATAGCACGATGTTATCCTGAATTTATCATTTTTTAATATATGCATGCATTTGCCCTTCATTTTTAAAAAAATCACAATTTAGAAATAAATGTATCTGACAGTCTTGGGTTTAAAAAAAAAAAAAAGTAACATAAATATTTTTCTTTTATGTGCAAAGAACTGTGAGAGCATAAACCTGAATGTATATTTAGCTTCTAATTGTTGGCCAAAAAAAAAAAAAAAGTAAATGTGCTATGCCAGATAAAACATAAAAGAGATTATTAAGAAAAATAAAAATACTGGGAGTTGACAGCTGACCTTTCATATGAATAAATTGGATTGTGGTATATTTTGATTTTCAGGAAGCACAAACCAGTTTCCCAAGATTGTCAGTGTGGTTAAGCCATAACACTCAGATTTCAAATGAATAGAGAGATTTATTCTTACGTAAGAACAGGAGCCAAGTGATTTTTTTATTTCCTGTAGTAATTTGGAAAGCTAGATCTTTCACCTGTAGGAAAGGCCACAACCCTGGCTTTGAAATGTAATATCACCAAGGAATGGTTCAATGTTTGGTCCTCCAGCTGGGGGTGGTGGGAGGGGCTCATCTACTTCAATAGATAACAATAGTATCTACTGCATGGGAATGTTTGTGGTGAGCCTCACATGAGGTAAATAATGCCCAAGAAATGTGTTGCATGGTACCTCGCACTTGGGAGCTTTTCATCAAAGGGTAGTTAGTGATAAAGATAGGAAGAAGTGGAAAGTAGGAAGAGTTAGCGTTATGCTGTTTGATGAACACCAGTTTGGTCAGAATCTTGAGTAGGTGTTTCATGTACTTATTCTAAGGTCTAATAGGCTCTAGATAATCGTGTTCATTTCCTCATAGATTATATCCTTAAATACTCCACACTTAGAGTAGTTTCTCTCATAACAAACTATGACTGGGTAGGATTACCTGTTCTCCCTTTTTTAAAGTTCTGTAAAGAACACACCTTTCTCTTGACGACTAGAATTTTGCTGGGTTTGGTGTTTCTTTGTTTCTTTGAGACAGAATCTCACTTTTTTTTTTTTTTTTTTAATAGTTGGCCAAATTTCCCAATATCTTTCATCAGGTTAGTCATCCTTTCCTCTCTGGTTTGTAATCCCAACTTACTCATACACTTCATTTTTTTTTTTTTTTTTTTAATTAGTGAATGAATTGAACCAAGAGGATCTCACTCTTGCCCAGGCTGGAGTGCAATGGCGTGATCTCGGCTCACCACAACCTCTGTCTCCTGGGTTCTAGCTATTCTCCTGCCTCAGCCTCCTGAGTAGCTAGAATTACAGGCGTGTGCCACTAAGCCTGGCTAATTTTTGTATTTTTAGTAGAGTTGGGGTTTTGCCATGTTGGCCAGGCTGGTCTCGAACTCCTGACCTCAGGTGATCTGCCCGCCGGGGCCTTCCAAAGTGCAGGGATTACAGGCATGAGCCACCGTGCCCAGCCTTTACCATTTTATAGTTAGATGATAGCTAACATTACATGAGGTACATTTTAGTTCACTTAACATGACTTAAGAGATACCTTGGGTTTCATTAGAAACACGTTTTCTGGTCATCTTCTATTCAAGAGATTTCTGCAGGTGGCTGACTTGGTCTGCTATATTTCAGAGCAGAAATAACTTCTGTTATTTCTGTAAGGAAATAACAGAAGAATAATATAAAGGACTACATAAACCATTCATTGCAATGATATCTATTATGAATAACTGGTGATGTTATGTGAATGGTTTCATGATAACCAGTATCCCAACATGATGAATATTATGTAGCCTCTAAAGATAATTAGTAAGATATTGTAGGAACATGGAGAAAGTGGATAATGAAATGTGAAGAATGCTGTGTAAAAATACAATGTGAAAAATGTACAATTATAATTATGTATAAAATAGACACATGCAGAACTTATTATAAACTTCAAAATCTTGTCATATAACTCAGTTGTTAAATTTGGGGGCTGTTTCTAGTTAGAGTCCATAACCATGTGTATGTTGGCTCCAACATGCTGTAAATAGTTATTTTTTGGATCTCATTCATTTGGTGACAGGCTTGGATTATTCTTTTGGATAATAGTACCTGATGTTACCATATTCCATTTCTTTTTAGTGATGAAAATGCCCGGAAAGATTTAAAGACATTACCAGCCTTTCCAACCAAAACTCTTCAGGAGCATCCATCCCTTGCTTACTGGTAAGCGAAATCCACATGACAGGTGACCCCTTCTCATAGCCTCCATTGAGAACTGCATGCTTTTTGGGACATTAAAAGGCATATAAGTGAGAAAAATATCACATTGCCCATCAATTGTATAAAGAAACCATAGGTAGACCTTGATCCTTTCAGTGAAAGGATCTACTCGAAGTTCACTGGAGATCATTATACCAAAATGCGTCTTGCAGTCATTTGCAAAGAGCAACTGGCTGATGTTTCTTTCAAGTGTGTTAAATGTCTTAGAGTGTGCTTCTAGATGAATATACAATACTCAATGTATGTGCAGTCACTGTGTAATGCAGTGCAGCCTTAATCTAGCAGAATGCAATATAAGTGTTACAAAATGCAAATTTCCTTGGATCAAAGATTTTCTTAATGACCAGAGATTTATACTATAGCCAGGTATCATTGTATATATTGTGTTGGTTTAGTTGTTTGTATTTTAATGAATCCATAGTATCTATTTTCATCTCACATTTTTTTCTAAATTGCATTTTCCCTTAAAATACTTACATTCTTATTAAATATATTCTCCTTTGTTTCAGTCTGAATCCTCACGATGGTTTTTCTTTCCACTAAAATGTTTTTCACAATAAAGATTACAAAATAAATATTTAATATTGAGACATTTAGTATGAAGTTGCAAGTATATTCCCAAATAAATAGTGAAAGTAAGTACCGAGGCTACATAGTGTCTTGACTCTGAAAGCTTCTAACCATGTCATTTTCAAGTGATAGTTTTTTCTTTCTTTCTTTCTTTGAAATGGAGTCTTGCTCTGTCACTCAGGCTGAAGTGCAGTGGCATGAACTCAGCTCACTACAACCTCTGCTTCCCGGGTTCAAGCAATTCCCATGCCTCAGCCTCCCAAGTAGCTGAGATTACAGGCACCCACCACCACGCCTGGCTAATTTTTGTATTTTTAGTAGAGTCAAGAGTTTCACCATGTTGGCCAGACTGGTCTCAAACTCCTGACCTCAGGCAATCCACCTGCCTCAGCCTCCCAAAATCCTGGAATTACAGGCATGAGCCACCGGCCTGGCCAAGTAATAGTTTTTTAATTAAAAAAAAAGACATTACTAATGACAACTAGTTATATGGAGAAAGAAATACTTAGTATTCTGGGCTATACTTGAGATTTCCTTTCCAATCAACAGGTTTTACTCGAGGGCAATAAAAGGGTTTTCTTCTAAAGCAAGATGTCTGTAAGTGGTGGTAATAGAGTATTTTAGATTGCACACAGACTCAGAAGCAGTTTGAATTCTTTTAAAATCTTTCTGAATCACTCAAGGAGAAAGTCTTTAATACCCAACACTTGCTGATCTCCCTGTTTTAATCACAGAGAGGATAGGCCTTATGCTTAAAATTTACTCAACAATGTTCTACAACTAACATTTGATATCATTATTTTATATGTATTGTATTTCATCCCATTATGGCAGAAGATCATTTTTCATTTAAGAAATTGATATTGTTTTCTTTTCTAGTAAACTGTTTTTTTGTTTGTTTTTTGTGACAGTTTTGCTCCTGTCACCCAGGCTGGAGTGCAATGGTGTGATCTCAGTTCACTGCAACCTCCATCTCCTGGGTTCAAGCAATTCTGTGCCTCAGCCCAAGTAGCTGGGATTATAGGCATGTGCCACCACACCCAGCTAATTTTGTATTTTTATTAGAGACAAAGTTTCACCATGTTGGCCAGGCTGGCCTCAAGCTCCTGACCTCAGGTGATCTGCCCACCTTGGCTCCCCAAAGTGCTGGGATTACAGGTATGAGCCATTGCACTTTAAGTTTTAAAGGTAGTTATATGTATATGTATGTGTGTGTGTGTGTGTGTGTGTGTGTGTGTGTGTGTGTATACATGTATGTATTATATAAATATGTTACACAAAATATAAGTTAAAGATGATAAGGAAGGCAGTTCTGAAATTTAGGCATCCATCTCCTACAGAAACAAAAACCAAACTCTAGCTATCTAACAAGTTGGTGAAGGCTTCCTCTCAAGTTTTCAGTAGCCACCTGATAATATGGAAACCGTGCCTGTACCTCAGATAATCATGCATTGCCATCTTTCTCATTTCTTTGTTTTACAGCGAGGACAGGGTAATTGAGCATTATTTGAAAATCAAAGGTCTCACTCGGGGTCAAGCTGTGGTTCAGTAAGTATCTTTCTTTCCTTTTGCTTAGGTATAATTTTAATATCTCCCATCTGAAGATGTCACTTGAAATAATTTCTATTAGGTAGTTTTTGCTAATATAGTCCTTACCTGGTTAGAAATATCTTACCACAAACTAGAAAATGTCTCAGGTCATTCTATACATTGGTGTCATCAACTCAGATACCTACCAGAGTCAGGCAATAAAAAAAATGAGAAACATAGGCCAGATGTGGGGCAATAGGGAATGGTGGGGACTGTGACAAACAAGTGAGCTTCCATCCTGAGTAGAGGCAAAGTTACTCAGCTTTATAATTCAGGCATAATGTTGCCAGGTCCTTTGTTTTCCAAGAGAAGCTGGAAATTCAGATTTTTAAATCTTACCTCACTGGGAAGTAATTTAAAGAAAATTTAGTGCAATATTAGCCAAACACAACCTATCTAGAGGCCATGTTTTGTTCCCCAGTTTGTGACTCTACTTTGAATGGAGTGCATAGTATATTGGTGTCAGATAATCTGTTTCTTCATGCTACTAAGAACAAACCATTGTAATGTATTTCTGTATTTTGTGACTTACAGAGTTACCATCCATTATTAAGAACAGGCCAGCACAGTAGCTCGTGCCTGTTATCCCAGCAGTTTGGGAGGCTGAGGCAGGTGGATCACCTGAAGTCAGGGGTTTGATGCCAGCCTGGCCAACATGGTGAAACCCCATTTCTACTAAAAATACAAAAATTAGCCAGGCATGTTGGTGGTTGCCTGTAATCCCAGCTACTTGAGAGGCTGAAGAAGAATCACTTGAACCAGGGAGGCAGAGGTTGCAGTGAGCTGTGAGCGTGTCATTGTCACTTTGCTGGGGTGATGAGCGAAACTTCATCTCAAAAAAAAAAAAAAAAAACCTGCCACACTAAACTTTTAGAATTATTTCTATGCATATGAAAACTGAAATAAGAATTTAGAGATTGCTAATCTCCTGGTCAGTGTGTAGATTTTCTTCACACTCCTACTTCTTTGCTCTAATCTCATTTTTTTTTTTTTTTTTTTTGAGACGGAGTCTTGCTCTGTCACCCAGGCTGGAGTGCAGTGGCATGATCTCATCTCACTGCAAACTCTGCCTCCTGCCTCAGCCTCCTGAGTAGCTGGGATTACACAGGTGCGTGCCACCATGCCCAACGAATTTATGTCTTTTTAGTAGAGATGGTTTCACCATGTTGGCCTGGCTGGTCTCGAACTCTTGACCTCAAATGATCTGCCCACCTCAGCCTCCCAGAGTGCTGGGATTACAGACGTGGGCCACTATACCTGGCCTGTAATCTTGTTTTATCAAAACACACCTTCTATTATCTTCATGGCAGAAATCACAAGTTAGCCTCCTGAAGTTGGATCCTTGACATTTTAATTCATTGTGTGCCTGTTTTCTGAACTGAAAAGAAAAAAGAAGTAGTGACAATTTCTATTAAGAGTTTTAGGGTAAACTAGTGAGTACTGTCATGCACCATTTCTGTCCACATATACAATGGTGGGCCTATAGGATTATAATGCCATATTGTTACTGTATCTTTTCTATGTTTAGATACTCAAATACTTACCATTGTATTATAGTTGCCTGCAGTATTTCAGCCCAGTAACATGCTGTACAGGTTGATAGCCTAGGAGCAATAGGCCACACCATACAGCCTAACAGTGTAGTAGGCTCTGCCATCTAGGTTTGCGTAAGTACACTCCATGATGTGTGCACAAGGACAGAATCAGCTACCAACACAATTCTCAGAATGCTTCCTCATTGTTAAGCAATGCGTGACTGCCTATTACAAAGCTCCCATGTTTAAGACATGGAATCAACCCAAATGCCCATCAATGATAGGCTGGATAAAGAAAATGTGGTACATATACACCATGGAATGCTGTCTGGCCATGAAAAGGAATGAGATCATATCCTTTGCAGGGACATGTGTGAAGCTGGAAGTCATTATCCTCAGCAAAAAACTAATGCAGGAACAGAAAACCAAACACCACTGGTTCTCACTTACAAGGAGCTGTGCAATGAGAACACATAGACACAGGGAGGGGAACAACACTTACTGGGGCCTGTCAGGGGAGGGCTGGAGTTGGGGAGAGCATTAGAGAAAAGTGCTAATGCATGCTGGGTCTAATACCTAGGTGATGGGTTGTTAGGTGCAGCAAATCACCATGGCACATATTTGCCTATGTAGCAAACCTGCACATCCTGCACGTGTACCCTGAAACCTAAAAAACAATTAAAAAAAAAAGTACCCATGCTTAAATGCAGAGTCTTATTCCTTCACCTGATCATTATTGTGTGGCTTCATCTAAGAGACTGTTTCACTTGGTATTTAAGGCTCTAGGATGTGAAGTCCAACTCATTTTGTTAGAATTCTGGCTGTGCAGTTTAGTTGCTGCACGACCTTGACACATTTACTTAACTTCCTATATTCATTTACATGTAGGCCATTTACATAAAAAAATATATCAAATTATTGATTACAGTTTCCAGAGAAACTGATCATCAAAATGGCATTAAAAAGTCTACTTGCGTTAAAACATGAACCTCAGTTCCTTAAGGGCAGAGAGGAAGTTTACACAATTTAGTCCACTCCAAAGCCTTAAAGGTGTACAATAAACCCTTTTGAATTAAAAATAGCAAGTAGCGGCATTGTTGCTTTAATTTTTATTTTGCGGGGACATTTTTAAAGTCAGGTTTACATAGGGTAATTCATAGTTTTAAAGTATATATTTCTAGGAGTTTTGATAGATGTTTCTAGTTATGTAACTTCTACCGCAAGCAATATATGTAATAGCTTTATTTTTTCACTTATGAGTATGCCCCAAAATTTGGTGCTCATTGCTTGCATCACTAAGGGCTTACTTTAAAAAATACTTTCAATTGGAGTTTATACTGCGGCACATTTCTAAGCCATAACCATTTGAATATGCAGAAAGTAACATTTTCTATTGCTTTCTGAAAATGAGGTTCTATTAGCAACTTCATAACATGTGGATAAGCTAAAATATATTACTCCCCAAAATGGTTTATCCTGTTTCTAGAGTGAAGCATATTAATTATTTATATTGTTATAATGAGGAAAGTAGAAATATGATGTTTCTTTAAAACACTTTTCCCAAATAACAATTATTGTTTATTCCCAAATAATAATTATTATATTGTTATAATGAGGAAAGTAGAAATATGGTGTTTCTTTAAAACACTTTTCCCAAAAGGGTCCTCTGACAATTTTAATAAAATTGTGATACATATTTATTTTCCATAGGTATATGAAAATAGTAGAAGC